TTTAACTACCATAGTTTAGTTTGTTAAATATTTAATAGAGGCCAAAATTGCTCAATTTGATAAATTTAATGAACTAAAACTATTTAAATGTATATTTAAGGGACTACTTTAGACCTTCCCAAACATAAAGGACCATTTTTGTCATTTTCTCCTTTTACGTGTCTTCATTGCAGGGTCTCTTTCTCTCTCCCACAGCCTCTTTCAACGTTTTTGCATCTGAATTCTGCCGCGAAGAATCAGATTCCGTACAATTCTCGCCGGTAGATCTCTCAATATTCCGGCGACTTCCGTCTGCTTTTAATAGCTATGAATTCAGAATAGTAAGTTCCGTCGGCATATTCCTTTTCTTATTTTGCAATATTTTGTTGGTGACGGATTGAACTATCTCTTCATATTAGTTTCTGTCATTCAATTTCCTTTTCTAGTTCTTTTCGTTTCAATACTTATTCGTTTAATTGTGGATTTTGTCAAAACATCCTTAATGTTTATCGCAGTTGTGGATTTCACCTATAATCCCTAATTCATTAAAATCAACAATCGAACGTCGTTTGAGAAGATTAAAATCAACTTTAAGCTTAATAACTTATTTCTTTTCAATTGGTCCAAAAAATAGAAGTTATTTTCAGGAAATGGTAGATTAGAAACTTTAAAAGTATGAAAAAGACTAGTCGCCAGTTAAATTCGAAACTCAAAACTGTATCTTTTATATTTAAATTAGAGATTGTAAATGGTTTTTGAACTTGGTGAAGAAGGTTTTTGCTTCATACATTTCACTCAATTGCAGTTTTTTCAGTAAGTCCATGTAATTGCAGTTTGTGTTGTTGATTAACATTTACAGCTACTATTTTTTTTTTCTTGCCTTGCATATACCTTTTTTTCCATATGCGCCTTTCTTCATAAAGTGCGCACTTCAGTTGTGGTTTGCTTTTAAATTCCTGTAGGCACTTGGCACTTCCTATTTTTTGTCATTGACAACATTGCTTTCATTGTTATCTCAGATCGTTTGAAATTCCTTGGTGTAATATTTCTTTCACATGCTTGCACAAGGTCCAACTAGTAACCTCCTAAGTCAATTTTTTTTAGTAATTAGGTTGATATTTGTTGGTCTTACTTGGGTGTAGAGATGTTCTAGATAACTAGGATTATGTGTAGGTCAATTATCTCATGTTTGTCTCTTTAGCCTATCAAATAGGGTACAATCCTTAGACAATCTCTTCCTCAAATTCTATCGTACGTATCAATCTAACCATACTTAGACTGCATCATCCAACAGTGCATGATGATTTCTATAATGTAAAGACTACTTTGTCTTGGTGTGTTGATAAATATGTGAAATAATATTTACTAAAAAGTATAGTAAGTTTGAACATATAGGGAATGATATGTAAATGTTAAACTTCTGCCCTTCCATATTTTTATAGCCAAATCAAGTAGGAGTATCAAATTTAATCCCAAAGTGACCAGTAGATGTTGCTAAATTACGCATATATAGCAAGATAACAAACTTCTCTGATATTGATGTTAGCGCTTGTTTCTATTAGTGATTTAGCTTTTTCATTCCAGGTAGTGCCTAAGTATACAACTTTTAACATCTGCCAGCTAATGGGTGTATATTATAATTATATTGGTTGTGCTTTCCGGCAGTGACTACCTGTTCAAACTTCTGCTTATCGGTGATTCTGGTGTTGGGAAGTCATGTCTCCTTTTAAGATTTGCTGTAAGTTTTCAAATCTTGGAATTGTCTATACTGACTTTTTTCTAGTCTGCTTTTACCTGTCTGAACGTACCTACTAAATTCCTGATTGACTAAACAAATGGAGGATTTATGGAGCATCAGCCATGGATTCTCCATATCTTCATTTTTCAGTTCCATTCTCCACTTGGAATGAATTATTTATCTTGAATAGTCCTGAATTTTCCAGCTAGTAGAGTCTACTGCCCTGGTGGAGTTGTTCTATTGCTTTTTATGAAATTTTGAATCACCTACTCATAAAAAACTACATCTGCCATGATATTTGAGACTCTTCTTTTACACGAAGTTTATTTTTCACACTGTAATCATCTGGATGATTAATTATGAACCTATTGCTGGTTGCATCGCTTTCATTGTTAGAGATTCTTGATCGTGAACTCAGAGACTCTCAACCTGCTGAAAAGTTTATCAGATTATAGTTCAACTCAGAGATTCTCACCCTGCTGAAAAGTTATCAGATTATAGTTCAATGTGGTTAAAAATTTTATTCTGAAAATGTTGGCTGACTATTTTATCGCTTTTTACCATCAGGATGACACATATCAGGAGAGCTACATAAGCACAATTGGAGTTGATTTTGTAAGATACTTTAATTGTTTATGAGCTACTCAATTTTACATACAGTTGGAATCTTCTGTGATCTTTTTCAGCCAGAGCACTCTACTTTTATGTTATTACTGATCTTACCAACTGTTCAAATATTTTCATGTAGAAAATCCGGACAGTGGAGCAAGATGGGAAGACCATTAAGCTTCAGATTGTAAGACTTCACCCGCACTTCTGCTTCAGGCCTTTCATGTTACAGATATTCGATGTGCTGTGAACTTTTCATGAAATCAAGATATTGGTGTTTTCTGTTTTGACACTGTTTAGTGGGATACTGCTGGACAAGAGCGTTTTAGGACTATCACTAGCAGCTACTATCGTGGAGCCCATGGCATAATAGTGAGTAGTTGCCTTACTTTTCTTAAGAAAATGTAAATAGCAACTAGTTATCTGTAGAGTCTAATGTCAACTGCTTTCTGTACCTTTTGACATTTTCTTTGGATGGCCTCTATGGTAGATTGTCTATGATGTGACGGATCAGGAGAGCTTCAATAATGTGAAGCAGTGGCTGAATGAAATTGATCGTTATGCTACCCCAAATGTTAACAAGATTCTTGTTGGGAACAAATCTGACCTTGCAGCTAATAGAGTTGTGTCATATGAAACGGCTAAGGTGAATCATCTTCTTGCAGATATTTAATCATCCTTTGTCCTTAAATGGAAAACAAACTGATCTACTTAAATTTATTCTTAGGCCTTTGCTGATGAAACTGGTATTCCATTCTTGGAGACCAGTGCGAAAGATGCTAGTAACGTAGAACAGGCTTTCATGGCTATGACTTCTGCTATCAAGAATAGGTAAAAGTGTATCCTCTTTAAATAGTGCTAATCAAAGGTGTCTTGTATAGCCTTCCCAAGTTGCGACCTGATCTTTGATAAGATTCAATTACTTCTATTTTCTGGGAGACAGATACTTATATATTTTTATCACTTCCTTTTATGACATTATGGTTGGTACAAAATTTGGGAGATATTTCAGATGGTAAATGTAATCATCTTGCAGTTAGGATCCTATTTGATGCCTTAAAATGGATTTAAACATGGTCATGAATCATTTCGTGCAATATCACATTTACACAAGCCAAAAGGAAAAAATCTAAATGAAAGATATAGTAACTTGTTTGGTTTTGACCTCATCCCTTGTATAAAATGTCCTCCAAATGATCTTTTTATTTACATTTATGATATGAGCTGGCATGTGTTGCTTCTCTCAATTTCCATTATTTCATTCTCTTTTGCTCTCCTGACTGCAGTATGGCAAGCCAACCAGCCACAAATGCTGCCAAGCCTCCAACTGTAAATATTCGTGGACAGCCTGTTGCTCAGAATAGTGGCTGCTGCTCATCTTGAGTCCTTGACTACAAGAGAATGTCCGCTATTTGCTTGTTGGCTCATCCGTGACATGTCTACTGTAATCTCACTAATCACCATTAATGTTTACCCTTGTGGACTTGTCCTGCTAAATGCTTACAGCTAGATATATCTTCTTATTTCTTGATTAAAAAGATTTTTTAATTGAAGCGTACAAATGATTGTGAACATAATGATTGTTGAACTTTGACACTTAGCCCTGCTTCAGCTTGACAATATATCTAAATATATTTCTCATAGTTCAACAGAAAGATACACTGGTGAAGATGAATACGCTCTCGAACGTCTAGTGACTAAGATCCTTTTTGTCATCGGATGTCCCCAAAGGGACAGCACTTCGCCTGCCACAAAAATGTGCTAAGCTCAAAGGTCTGCTCGATCGGCATGATCTTCTTCTCAATATATATGTCTAAATATATTTCTCATAGTTCAACAGTATGAGAACAGTGTGTTAGCGCCTAAGCTAATTTGTTTTGCACTGGAGAATTTGGCAATCTATGCTTATAGGGATAGAGTACATGCAATTGCCTTATACCGCCTTCCGGAGCACCTTTTATTTTTTTTACTATGTTATAGGAGTACACGATCTAAATTGTTCTAGTTATGCATATGAAGAAATTAACGGGCCAAAATAGTTAGTCAAGTTGCTTCTCATAATGAAGGTGTTCGCGCTCTTTCTTCACTTTGTTGCTTCTATTGAGCCATAATATACAATCTTTTTGCCAAAGTAGTGTCGCAGAATGATGGAAGACCGGCAGAGCAGGTCCATAAAGTGTAAGAACATTGGACCTTGTAAAGGAAATAGCGTGAACACTTCATTAGATGAAAAGGACAAGTGATAAATTCCTTTTTTTAACAATTCCTGAGATTCATTAAGAGGATGAACTTATATAAACTCTTTGGTGCTATCACAGCTTTGGTCAGTTTCGGACACAGATAAGGTCCCCTCCTTATTGTAATCTTTTTTTGATTCTAATAAACAAAAAGGAGTCGATGCCAAACCCTACAACACACAGGAGGTGAAAACCAGGGTGATTAGATTTTTAAAAAAAATATGAGGATGGACAAAACATGAGAAGTCAAATAACCTCACCACGGATTTGCACCAACCTGTCGCCCCCACTGTTACTCATTAGTGTCACGGCTATTAAACTTTTATGACTTCCCAACACAAATAATGTCAATTGTAAAGGTGTTTGTCCCTAATCAGAACACGAGTACCCTGCCATCTTTGTCAATGAGAATGCCACACAAAATATTAGAACGGAACTGCGGAGAAAAAGCTCGTGCATAAATTAATGTGCTTCATATACCCCAGTATATCAGAAAAGTAACACATCACATGAAGAAAAAAACTACAGAGGGTATGGCATGAGGGAAGGAAATTTACATTGAAGGCCATCAGAAACATTGACCCTTTCACTCCATTATTTTTCTGTCAATTTGCCTCTTGGACGTGGGACAAAGCACTATTAAAGCATCACTTGCCACCCAATGTAGGGAAGTGACCCGGATCTTCAATAGGAGGGGCTTCCACATTGCTCGTAGTGTTGGCTCCACCGTAACCTCCACCATAACCTCTAGAACCACGGCCACGACCTCCTCGGCCTCGACCACCAGGTGCATAATACCTCTCACCCTCAGCAGGCTTCAGAAACTCATTAATGCTGACTGCCTAAAGCCAGAGAAAAAGAAGAAAAAAAGATTAGATGATTCTTATTTCTGCTGATTTGACACCTCATCTCAATCACCTCCAGCCTGTCCATGCACATGTATAAGAGTGAGCAATGGAGTTTTATTGTAAAAATAGTAGCATGGTACTATAATAATAATTACTATATGTTGGTAAGTCTAAAACAATTTGTTAGATTGCACGGGAGAAAATTCTATTTTTTTAACTATGATACAATGAGCCCTATATATAATACATATTCTACTCCTACTACATATGGGACTAGGACATATACTACTCCTACTACATATGGGACTAGGACTATTTACGCATAACTATCAAACACTCCCCCTCAAGCCGGTGCATACAAATCATATGCACCAAGCCTATTGCATATGTAACTAATACGAGGACCAGTGAGGGACTTGGTAAAAATATCTGCAAGCTGATCATTCTACATACAAGGCCGCTAGACTCCCCCTAAACAACAAAACCAGGTTGTTGTTAGCCGAAAGGTCGCGATGAGGAGATAGCGCAAACCAACCTTGAGTCGTCAACCGGAAAGATGCACAATAACTTACTTTTTTGTTCTGATGGGACTGGGATTTCTGGGGTTTGGTCGCACAAGGGTTTCGGATCTGAGGGTGGTATTGATATATGCACATGTAGCAGTGATGAACCCTGGGAACAAGACGAAGTTGCTGAAAAATTGCACAGCGATGAGATCTTTCTTCTCGGATATCGCTGGAATGACGCATGGCAATAATTTTCTCACTGAAACTTTGATACCATGTGAAATTGCACGGGAGAAAAATCTCTTTTTTTAACAATGATATAATGAGCCCTATATAATGCATATTCTACTCCAACTACAAATGGGACTATGACATATTCTACTCCTACAACATATGGGACTAGCACTGTTAACACATAACTATCTAACACAATTACCAGAAAAATCTGAAAGAAACCAAGGCCCGACTGTAAAAGAAATACAACTTAAATATTCCCTCTACAACAATGTTGTTACATGATACCATTTTCATCGACACACATGCAACAGCATCCAGAAAAGTAGAAATACCTGCTGTGGTGTATAGCAAGAATAACAACTAGAACAGATTGGATGCATTGTTCATATAACAATTGCAACAGACTGGACGCATTGTTCATAAAGCTTGGTAAATCAATATTGAGCAGCGTAAGAAAAGCATTTGCTGGTTTAACAAGTGTCAGGAAAGAATGCATATGCCGAATAAGTACCTTCTTTGCCTTCTCTTCCTTCTCAGCAGACTCTCTTCTCTTATCCTTGGGGCCCTAAAAATCATGGCATAGAAGTATTTCAAGAGATGCTTTAAAGATAACTAGCATCAAGCATGAGTAAAGGACATAATGTCTCGAGAATTTCACCAATTTGATGAAGATATCATCACTGGATTTCTTTGAAAGCTGTTGCATGGATTCAAATTCTTTGGTGTCGACCTTCCTTTCCTCAGTTTTAAGTGCCTGCAAAGCCTGCCGCTTTTCTTCTAGCAACTTCTCGTACTCTTCAAGGGTCATCTCCTATTCATTCAAGGAACATGAATTACATTCACATGTAACACCTATTAACTATCGCCTGCAACTCCTTATAAAAAAACTATCGCCTGCGACTCCACCATGTATTAAGTACTAGTTCTACCACAGCAAGCACAACACCTGGAAAGCTTCTACTACTGATGAAACCTCTGCTTCTACCTTTACGGCCAATGTTGTAAAAAGCGAAATACATAAAAAAGACGTACTCTGCAGCGGAGGCATTTATGTTCAAAGGAAAAGAATTTAATATATACAGTACTGCAGAAAAAATAACTCATAACACAGATGAGCATTGTAATTTTTTATATTAAAGAAACAAACAACAATATATAGATAAAATAATTAAAATTAAGTGAAACAATATATGAAGCAAAAACCATGTCAATTCAGAAACCTTTTAATTAAAGAGCAACTGGATCAGCAATGTCGGAGAAGTGCATGTCATAGCATACACTAAACACCCAATTGATTTAGCATACTCCAATTGAGCAAGAAGCCATCAAAAAGGAAGGAGTTAAATTCTGACTGCTCAAGCTCTCTTAAGCATCTGTTTATAGAGCAGAGCAGAACATGTCTCAACAAACAAGGGAACACAGGGATCGTCAAGGTCCTATCAATACTGTGTTGAGTGTGTTACAGAAGGTTCACCTTATTTTCAGGCTCCTTGTCCTCAGCTTCAGCAGCTGGATGTTCCTTCTTGTTGTCTCCTGCTTCTCCCTCTGCGGAGGGTTTCTCCACATTCAGATTTTTCTCGCCTTCATTAGCAACTTCATCAGTCATCCTGTAATACACAACACAGACAAATCAACACCATATTCAATAGATAGAATGTGCCATGATGTTCAAACTAGTCTGCTTAGGACTATGTAGGAAGGTAAAACTCACTGAGTAACTTCATCTGCTTGAGTTCCCCAATTTCCTCGGCCAACTCCTTCACGCTTTATCTCACCTCTGCTCATATAGTGAAAGATAAGTAAGATTTAAGAAAGCTTTACAAATACAGCAATAAAAGGCGATGGTAACACAGACAAGAAAGAAGTATCTACCCGCCGCTGGTACCACTGCGGCGCTCAAATATCCTACGAGGTCGGTCTCCCTCAGGAAATTCTCCATTACTAAAACCGCCTCGTCGACCACCATGGGGTCCACCATAACCGCCACGCCTTTCATAGGGTCTTCCTCCTTCCACATCTTCAGGTGCAGCTATACCACCAGAAAATTCTCTGTTTCGAGAAAAATTCTCGTTGTTGGATGCTTCCCTATTAAACCCACCTCCACCACGACCACGGCTGTAACCACGTCCACCACCTCTACCTCCTCCACGTCCAACCTCTGTTTTTGCCTCCCTGACTACACAGTTGAAACAGGGAAGCAATAAGTAATTCTGAATACTTGCAAAAGAAAAAGAGGAAAAGAACCATAAGTGCAATGACTATATCAAAAGACATAAACAAAAAGTAATTCATCCATATCATTATTCAAGTGACCAGTCAGGTTGGAAACGCTCTTGAGACATAAGTGATATACGCAACAAGCAAAAACTATGAGAATAAGGAAATAGAATAACAGAGAACTGGTCACCGTCAGACACCTTGTGTGGAATATAAAAAAGTATGTATATATAAACAACTGATTCTTTTTTTATCAATAAACTATGCCTCATTCTCAAACCAGTTCCTTTTCTTTTTGGGTCAATACCTCAATCCCAAAATAGTTGGGGTGAATGATATGAATCCTCTATATATTCCACTGTATTCAACCCAATTTCATGCTGATACTGCTAAGAAATTGAAGGAAACTTAGGGATTCTATCTTACTTGTTCTTACCTCGACCTAATGTAGGTGTAAACAACAACAAGAACTAAGCATGAATCTTAAATAGCTGGTATCATCTACACGAGTACTATGCTTCGAATCTCTCATACACTTAGTTGAGCCCACATCAATCCTGAGAGAATGGAGTTTCTTCTAGACAATTCCTCATGTGATTTTAAATAAACCTAGTCCCTTTTAGCACTTCTAATCAGTATGGTGTCACACGTATAGACTGTTATATTTAAAGGTCTATGCAGGTCATGACTACTTCCGTTTTGATAAGTCAATGTTAGTATTGCATAAGCAATACACCAAGTTGGTGTCATATTAATTAATTAGGCGTTGAAATCAACATCCAAAAAGTTAATCACGCTAACATGATCGAAATACTAATACCTTTCTCTACTTTTAGTTAATATACAAAATATGAGAACATAATAAACTGAGGTGACGCTCACCAGCCTGGGCCGGGGGAGGAGGCTTAGTGGGGAGCTTAGCCAGCTGTTTCTTAGACGCCGCCGCCGGAGCAGAGGGTTTCTTAGCGGTATCAAGTTTTTGCTGCTGAATAGCAATCAGCTTAGACGGGTCATCGTTGTCATCATCACCCAGCAAATCAAATGGGTTCAAATCCGCCATTTTCAAGCAACAATTACAAAAAACCCTAAAGTTTTTTATAAGTCTAAAATCCCTCGAAAAAACTTAATTCATCTGTATATCCATTATCATAAATCAGTTGTAAAGAACAGACAGAAACACTAAGATAACTTGTGAAAAAGATATTTGGCGAAACCCTAGCCGCAATGCTGAGTGTAATACACGAGGGAGGGAGAGTGAGTGTGTGTGTGTGTGAGAGAGAGAAAGAGAGAGAGAGAGAGGAGTCAGAGAACCTAATCTGTAAAAATCCCGGACTTATCGTACATGTTCTATGGAGCTCGTGTGCTTTTTATTTATTTATTTATTTATTTTATACATTTCTTTACTGGTGTTGTGGCCGTCGAGAAAAAAGTCTAGAATGGTCCCTTAAGTTTTAGCCTTTATTCCAAATGATCCCTGGAGAATACTGAGGTACGCTAATAGTTCTCTAACTATAAAAGTGGTGCATATAGGATCCCTAAAATAGTAATATAAAGTGTTACAATAAGGGATCGTTTGATAGGGTATATATAAATAATGTTGAATAAGGTGTATTAGTAATGTAGAGATTAGTAATGCAAGTATTATAAGGTGTTTGGATTGACTTATTTTAAGTGCTTGTTGGCTTTTAAGCATTTTTCTAGTTTTTGTGGTGTTTGGCAATGATAAAAAGTGCTTAAAAGCACTTACTTTGAGACATGAAAAATATAAAAATAAGCCAAAAGTCATAAGTTGGTATGGCTTTTAGCTTATAAGCTACTTTTTAAAAGCCAATCCAAATAACATATTAGTTATGCAAAAATTATTTCTTATCCAATGTTTGGTGTGGTGTATTGAAAATTAGAATGGATTGCATAACTTTTAAGAAAATTAGTTATATACAAAAATGCCCTCCGTATTATTCAGCTTTAAGTAATTATGAGGACAATTTTATCTTAAACAATGATAATGCATGCATTAATAGCCTTGGTATTGCTAATACCATGGTTTGCTATGTATTCGTTTTACATGGGATAATACCAAATATGTTGTATAACTAATACTTGTAATAGTAACACATATGTTGAAAAAGTGTATCAAACAAGGCATTAGCAATATCAAAATCTAATGCATACATTATTGTCTCTAATGCATCCTACCCAGTGGCGGATCCAGGATTTTAAAGTCGTGGGTGCTCACTATAAAAAATTTGAAAGATGAGGAAAAAAGAGTTTAGTTATGGGTGCTCAATCAATATTTATCTAAATATTTTTATAATTACCTATACAAATTTACTAAATCTTGTCAAAGATAATGGGTGATTGAGCACCCAAAATCAGCATGTAGATCCGCCCCCGATCCTACCAAACGACCGCTAATATTCTTGCAACTATGCAAGGGTGTTGTATATGTGTCTCAGCTTAACCAATCCCATGTATTCATAATTGCACTAGTAAAATATATGGCATAATCTTTAACCCGCGCGTTACAAATAGCCCAACCAACTTTCGTTGACATTAATATAATTTTATGAATTAATAGCTCTAGGGATCAAATGTTTTTGTGAGTCTTTAATTATAAACTTGTTTAATTTTATGACCTCGTCTTTTTTTTTATACATGAGATATTTACTTTGTTTTTAGTTTTGTGACCCTATCTTTTTTTTATACATGCGAAATTTAATTTTTGTCATGATCCAAAATCCCTCCTAGTCGTGATAGCGCCTAGTCTCTAAGACTAGGTAAGTCTAACACGTACCGAGATATTAACAGATTTAAAGCAATCAACTACTAAACATGAACCAGAAATTTCTATACATAGCCCACAACCAGCAATAGATGTTCAATATCCCAAAATTGGTAGTACAAGTCATAAGCTCTATTGAGTGCACTAGAAGAATCTCTAAGTACAAATTGTTCCGAAATAGAAATAAACAGCGGTAAAGAAAACAATAGAAGGTGACTCTGAGGCATGCGAACGGGATAGCTGGTATACCTTGAAGTCTCCACGGCAGCTCACAATCAGCTAACCAACGACCGACATACTCCGAGGTACCTGGATCTGCAAAAAAAATGTGCAGCAAGCTTAGCATGAGTACAATACAGCGGTGCCCAATAAGTATCAAGCCTAACCTCGGTATAATAGTGACGATGTCAGGTCAAGACACCTATTAGACATGGAACCTGTACAAAATATTGATATGCAGTTAAAGGACAATTATGCAATTTATCCATACAAGACTAACAACGGTAGCAAAGCAACAAATATCAGTAAGGGAGTACATGCAGTAAAGACAACATGTAACCAAGTACAATCAAAACGCGAATGGAAGGAAGTAAGGAAAATAAGAACCACAATCGTTCAACTAATCAAGCTTTCAACATAAATTGTACAACAAGAATCATACCGAAATACCACCATTTCACAAATCCCAACTCACAAATCATAATCACACGGCATCTTGTGCCCACTTTATAAATCACAACTGCACGGATAACTCACGTGCTAATTCTATTAACAGTAACCTCATACCCGTAGTGACAACTCATGTGCCAACAATAACAAGGTCTCATATATGCACGAACAACTCGCGTGCCAATAGTAACTATGTCTTATATCTGCACGGACAACTCACGTGCCAATAATTCAGTCCCTGCATAGAAGGCAGATATACAAGAATACATGTACATGATCAGTCGACATCGAGAATTATACTTATGGACTGATACAGGTGACAGATTACGATGTATGCTTGTGCAAGTGTACTATCACAACTCGAGTCAACAAGTAAGATCAAGGATCGACATTAGAAACAACACAATAAAACCTGCATTATGCATGACGCACACAAGATGGTCACAGCACCACACAAATATGATCAAAGACAATGCTCCCAAGCCATCACAATTCATCCCCGACATAGCCTACCTTGTCTCGACGCGTGTGCAACAGTAGAGTAAATACCCACCTTGTCTCGCCACATGCGCATTAATAATTATCTCGCCTTGTCACGCCGTATGTGCAAATATCAATAATAACAATAGCACGAACCACTCACGTGCAAACACCCCGACAATTCGCTCAACAATCTCATGTGTGCCTAAAACATATTAACTCGCACCACATGTGCCCATATGCCGTAACACTTCCATAATAACAATACTAATATCACAACCACGCATAGCCCATGACTCAATAACACTAAGTACAACGATAACAACAATAACACGAGGGTACGGCAAGTAAATCAATACGAGAATTACGACACACAATGAAACAGGAGAATAAGCTCAACAATGAAAGACCTAACAAGTAATAATGAATTCAAATAAGAATAACTCAACAATGAGATAGATAACATATAGCAACGACTTCAAAAAGGAATAAATTATTTATGGAAGAGATAACGTAACAATGAAAGATCAACGATTTCAATTAAGCATATGAGAGTAAATTTGTCAATAAAAGATTGAACGTAGACTAACAACTTCAATTAGAGTATGTGAGAGTAAATTCAATAAAAAAAAGAATATAACATGTTATAACAAGTTCAATTAAGCGCATGGAAGAAGTCTAGAAGTCTACACTAGTCAAAATATCACATGTAGCCCATGTACACACTCAGCACCTCGTGTACATGTCTTCCACATAATACAAACAATACAATCATACCAATACCTAGGGGGTAGTTCCCGCACACGAGGTTAGGCAAGATAGTTATATCAAATAGGCCCAAACAACAGTAAAATATAGCTTCTTTTACAATTCACCTCCGCTCGGCTCAAATGTAACCAAAATCAACTGAAAACATCAAATAATGCATGAAAACAAGTTTCAATAAGTAAAGCTATGATCTTCATACTATTCCCAAAAAGGCAACAAAAGCCAACAAGGGCTTGCCTGGTCAAAACCCGGGAAGATCTTGACTACTCATAATCCCACGAGTCCATATATGTGTTTTATTTCAAAATCCGAGTCTATTTCAATTCTCAAATGCCAAATTTTTATTTTTCAAAACATAGACAAAATTACTCATCGATTCTCATGAATTTGATGTTAAATCTTATATATAATCATGAAATATAGTTGGAAATTGATTAGAATCATTTACCCAAGGCTTGTAGATAAAAATCCCTCCTCAAAATTGCCTTTTACCGAGTCTAGGGTTCTTAGATATGAAAAATGAGGCCAAAATCCCAACTTCCATCCCTTATGTTCAGGTGCAGGTATCGTAAATGCGACATGGGGTTCAATTCAAATAGGAACCCCACAAATGTGAAGAATGATCGCACAAGCAGCATCCATCACAACCCCGGTAATGTCGCAATGCGACACTATCATCGCAAATGCGAAGGCTGACACATTTCGCAAGCGACCAAATGATCGCAATTGCGATCACTGCCTAGCCTAGACCCCATCGCAAATGCGAACCCAACAGTTCCTGGTCTATGTCGCAAAAGCAATGTCCCACCTCGCAAATGCGAGACCCGAAGCATCTGTGCAGAAACCACCAAAAGCTAGAACTCCTCCAAGCACTTCGAAACGCGCCCGAAACTCACCCGAGCCCTTGGGGCTCCACACCAAACATCAATACAAGTCTAAAAACATAACATAAACTCGCTCGCGCGATAAAACCATCAAAATAACATCTGAAATCATTAATCGGGCCTCCAAAATACATGAAACTCAAGAACTTCTAAAAATACAACCGCGCGTCCGTTTCCCATCAAATCAATTCGGAATTATGCCAAATATTGCACACAAGTTTCAAACAATAAATTGGACCTATCCCAAGTCCCGAAACTAAATTCCGAACCCCATATCCATAAAGTCAAACCATAACTAAATTCCGAACCCGATATCCATAAAGTCAAACCATGCTCAAACCTAAGGAATTTCTAAACCTTCAAATTGCTAACTTTCGACAAAACAAGTCAAATCAACCTAGGAACCTCCAATTCAATTTTGGGCATACACCCAAGTCCAAAATCACGATACGAACCTACCAGAACCATCAAAATACCATTCCGGGGTTGTTTTTGCAAAAGTCAAACATCAGTCGATGTTTTCAGCTGAAGTTTCTAAAATGAGAATCACTTATCTAATTCAATCCCGAAATGTCCGAAAAATCGAATCCAACCGTACACGCAAGTCATAATACACATTATGAAGCCACTAAGACCTAGAATCACTGAACAAAATGCTAAAACTCAAAACGACCGGTCGGATCGTTACACTTTTACATATAAGAGATCTATCGTTTACACATAAGAGATCTAAAAAAGATACTTTTTAAATTGTAACATTGTAA